AATAATAATAATAATAATAATTTTAATAATGTTAGCAATTTCAATAATGTCAATGAATTTATAACATTATTAATATTAATAACATTAATAATGTTATTAGCGTTATCATTAATATTAATATCAATGTACGAAACAAACTTATGGCGCGACAAAAGTTGTTCGTCTTCATAATACTGTTCTATTACTATATCTGCAGATTTGAACAACGGCTTCCTCTTCAATTCCGACAAATCCCAATACTCAGGCTTCGGTTCAGGACTTTCAAAAGCAATACGTATAATTTCTTCTTCATGAACATCAAGTAGCTTAATAAACAAGATAAAATAGAATAGTCAAAACCGCTCTCACTACTCCTATTAACAAAGCATTCCTTAATTAACTTGATAAGACTTATTTCTAATAACTATTAAAGTGCCTGCGCTCCATTATCCCAATAGGCCTTGTAACCGTTGTCATATGTGGGGTTATGCGAAGCCGTAATCATAAGTCCAGCATCGCAGTTTAATTTAGTAACTGCGTATGACTGAAATAGAAAAAATTCATCACTTTTGAAAATCACTTCTACATTTTTGTGGTTAGTAGAAACGTTGTGAAAAAAGACATAGCAGTAGGATCTCAGGAATCTATATTGCCATCTTTAAAAAACGAATGATAGCAGGCATAAAAAAACAAGCACAAAATATTTGCTTAAAGAAAAATAAGGTTTTTTCACATAACCCATTATTTTAAGAAAAATCCTATAAAATGACTGCGTACCGCAAAAGGTGTTGGACAAACTTCAGAAAACACGTAAGCTTTAATACCGTTACAAACAAAAACATTTGCGGCTAACATACCCCACCTGAAATCAAAAAGTAAACCGAAAAACTGTAAAAAACTTAAGCTTCTCACAAAAAATTTCAAAAGCTTCTATGAAAAGAATGTGACTAATAAAATCTGTAAAACCTTGAAACAAAATAAAAAAATAAAATTTTTTTTTGAAACTTCACCAAAACAGAAGTAATTACACTTGGCTACCTATGAAAAAGGTCAAAAAGCTTTTAAGTTACTTCGTTTAATTCTCACTCAACAATTTAATAAACATGCTAACGAAAACTGCATAACTACAGGCCGACCTCTGACTATTATGCCGGCCGTCATAGCCGATTGCTACTTGAATGTTGTCTCGTTTGTAAAACTCCTTCAAATGCACAGCAAAACCGTGCGTCAGCATCAAGATAGTCAAGTCATTCAGGCGTTTGAAACCAGGTCCCATACGAGCACGAACACCTAAAATACATCTCCTGCTTATTATAAATCTCTGAACGTAAAAAATACTCTTCAAGATTCAAATTTCAAGTCGTTAGAATCTTAGATGTGTATCAAAAAAAGACAAAAGACTGATCACCAGCAGTTCCAAAAACGAGCTTCCCACACATCAACGAGCAAAGTTCCGTAGTATTCCCCTTGTCCAGGAGTTCTTCAATTTCTTTTCGAGTCTTTTCATTCTAAGCAGGTATATAAAGACAGAGAACAGTGAAGCTTGAACACTTTCAAAAAAAAAGCGTGTTAAACCAGCATAAAATAGCAATAGTTTACAAATTACCAAATTTAGAAGGCAAATATATTAGCAGAATTAGATCTTAAAATAAAATAAGAACATTTCGCATATGACTGATACCTCAAAAAGCATTTTTAATCTTAGGTTCAAAAAAAAAAAAAAAAGAATAAAAATACATCCACCGGTGTAAAAAAACATGAAGGAAACAACTAGGGCAGTTACAGTTCAAAATTAATCACCTTATCCCATTTCAGCCAAGTGTCAACTAATTTGTCTAGTTCTGAACAGACCGGTGAAACAGCAGCCATACCTGAATGATTTTAATCTCAATAGCAACAATTTTTGGAACAATTAACAAACGCAGAAAAAATTTTAAATTATAGGAAATTTTTGATGTAAAAACTCAAAAAAATAAGCAACACAAAGGCACAGCAGTTTAAAAAGTAGTTGTAAAAATAAACAGTGAAGTCTAAATTCAGTCATTACATTTTATCTGTTGCTTCAAATTACACCTCAACAAAACTGAATTCTTTCGCAAACAGCTAAGACAACTAAAAATATCACATTCAACTATTTTTTCTACTTCATACTTCCAAAGCAGTGAAACTATTTTTTTCTTTTTATGGTTTTTCAAAACTGCCAAAATAAACATATCTTCATATATTTCACGCGGTAAACAAATATTTGCAACCTTTCAAAATGTAAAAAGTATATAAGACAAGTCTTATACAAAAAAGTGTCAATTATCATTGGCAGAATAAATTTGTAAAAACGGTCCGTTCGCTTGTCCCTATTTTTACTAACGATAATAAAAATTGTATAAGTAGGTTTGTCTGCTTCAACTAATGCAGTCTAACACATTCAATAAAAAAATTTTTGCTGTCTTAAAACTACGTTGGGTTACTGACAATATATCATTTTGATCAGATCAACTTTTTTTTAACACTATTGCTGTATTTTCAATCGTTGCAATTTTATGTTTCTATGTAGCAGTTCAACACGTCCTCAATGAATAAGAGGCCTCACCGCTGTAGATGAAATGAAAATTTCAAAAAAAAAGCTACCTGTTTGAGGTCTTCCAATCAACTATCGAATATACTGATCAAGCCAAATCAATTTCCGAAAATAAGCCTCAGCTCAAGAAAGAAGTGATAACTTAAACTACCAAATCCCGTTTTCCTTATAATAGTCTGTAAACTGATCTTCTTTGCTGTAGCACTCAGATCACTTCTGAGCTTTAAAAATCAACTGCAGACGTATAAAGAACATCGCCAAGAACAGTTAGGATACCTTGGGAGGAGCTAGACAAGGAAAAAATTGTTTCGGGAGCATGTAAAGGAGTGAAGATACAAGGCAACATAACACCTGTAATTTATTATGCCCCCTTCCAGAAGTATCCTCTTTCAAAAAATTAGTGTATTTTCCTAACCTGAGTTTAAAGCAACTGCGTCACCACCTACTAACCCGAAATCAGAATTTGAGATAAATACGGAGCAGACAAAAAAAAGAGAGCCTTCTCCATCCTAAAAATGTAGAGTAAAAAAGTGAGATAAAAAAAAATTGACCGATAAACAGTGAAAAAACCACAGCTTGGAGTTTTTAGCAAAATTCATTTAGTTCAAGAACAACCAAATTTCTCATCCACTCGGAAGGAAAATCAATATTTTAGAAACCAAACTTGACTTATCCTGACAAACAGCAATCATTTGAAAACTTCTATACGCATAATTCAGAAAGATTAATGTAAGAACAAAAAAATGCTCTGAGTATTTTTTCCACCTTTTAAATGCCACTCCAAAGTTATTGCGCGAAGTTAAACCCTTTTATCCACAGAGTTCGCTTATGATGATCAAACGACAAACTGCACTACAAAGAACTTTACACCGACACCGACTCTCATGGCTGTCCGATAGGAACACTCACTGTACTACATCATGCAATCAATCATGACAGAGTCAAACTTCCACAGCAGAAGACCAGCGACACTCCTTGAACTCTAAAGTCACATACACTCTACTGCGCGAGATAAAAAAACGATGGAATACCAGCTCAAATCTTCAAAACCAGTGCTATGCTCGAACAGTTCGAGACAGTCACTAGAAGTTTCGCTGTAGGCTGCCCTACGCCATAGTATTCCGATCTTCAGCACCTACGGGTTTTAATAAAGTAGACTAAAAAAGAGACGCACAAAAGCTGTTCTTGGTCCATTTACTTCAAAAAGTCTAACGCTTTACGTTGGTAATCGAAAGGCAAAGAAGAAAAAATTCCAATAGCTGAGTTATTTTACAGGTGATACATAGGCAGCTTCTTGAAAATAGAAAAGACAACAGCTTTTTCTGATAGTTCCTGCATAACGAAGATTATGAACAAATAACGATAAAGAGCGTATGCAGAAACATTAATATAATACTAACCTGGCAAACATAAAATAATGAATCATAAAGTGCATCCAAATTTTTCACTTCAAATGAGCAAAGAAATACAGTAATCATACCAAACAGAAGAAAAAAAGTCCGTGACTGGAAAATACAACTTGCTTCGCAGGCGATACCTCCATTTCTTTCGCCCTATACAATATAAAACTTCTTTCTTTTTTTAGTACTTTCTAATTATTAATCAAAAGTAAATTCCAAACACCTTCCAAACATAAGAGTAAGGTGCTATTTTTAGAACTGCCACAACTGCGGTTTTCGGTTCTTTAACATTTTGAGCTCACACCTTTCATATTTTTTAACTTGATCTTTTTAAAATAAATCATCGACCTAATCCGATCTTTCTTAAACGCTCAACAACTATCACGTCAAAAGAAAATCCCAAAATTTTCAACAACTGCTAAGCGAATACATCGTTTGAAAAACCCAAAACATTGACTTGTGAGTAAAACTTCTAAAACTGTGAACACATGTTTGGAAAACAAAAGCTTCCGAAAATAAAAAGTATAAACAAACCAAAATATTTTAACTAAATCCTAAACACCAGGAACCGTCTTTTCAAGACAACCGATAGACTTACAACAAAAATTCTGCAAAGTAAAAAATCAACAATGAAATGTAACAGCAACAAGACCAATAAAAATACCCGCATTACCTGACAATCATAACAAATTAATTAAGAGGCAGGCAAAAAATTAATAATAGAGTACATTTTGCTTTGCTAAAGCAGAAAGTGATATCGTAGTAGAATCATCAGACCTCACCTTCCCAGTATCTGTCGTTTTTATAGTGCCAATAAGCACCCATTTTTTCATAAAAGACGCTGCAATTAAAAATTTGTAACATTGATAACGATATTTAGCCTTAGCAACCGTAAAGAGAAATTGAAGTTACCTTTCCATATGCGAATATTCCCATCCGAACTCGCTACTGACAAAACCGTACCAGTTATATTCCACGAAAGTCGCCACAGCTAAATAGCATAAAAATTGTAAAATATAAAGTTTTGAGTAGTTCACATGTGCTCCAACGAATCTAAAAAACTACAGATGAGACAGCGAGTTCGGTTAAAAATAAACATACCTGAACAAAAGTTGGAACAGATGTTTTCAAAACATCAAGAAGCTCAATCACATAATTACTAGGAGAGACACTATCCACATCAGATTCTTTAGAATTATCCTTAATAGTCATCTTGTATACATAGACATTTCTTGCTGCAACTGCCAATACATGATATAAACGACCAACAGATGGAGCAAATGCTACATCCGAAACGGCACATGGCTCTTCAAAAACAGGGGCATTGACAGGTTGCCACTTCCTGAAATAAACGCTAACAGTATTGTAACAAAATAATAGGAAAAAAAAGAGAGGAAGCAAGAGATAACTGTTGCTGTTTTAGTTTTTATTTTGCGAGGTCGTTAAATAAGCTCATAATAATGCCACAGAAAATAACCTAATATCATTTAAGAAGTACTTTTCAGCAAAAGAACAGAAAAAAAATTTGCCTAAAGTTTTCGTGATATTCAACAATTCCAATACTTGGCCCTTTGATGTTAATTTCGTCCGAACAAGCAGCAATTAAAGGTCTTGTTAAACGATTTGTACTCCATGATATTGTACTGCAACGCGTCTCGAATAGACGAACTTCCTCTCGCAGATTCCACTGCGATAGATTCATGATATCTGGAGCCTCATAAGTCCTCAAAACCCCCTGCGCTGAACATGTAGCCTGTAAAAATTTGCTACTAAAAATGACAAAGCTTATAAAACACGGTATCCAGCAATACAAAGTTAAACCAGTTAGAGCATAAAAATTCTAGAACAGACCCAAACTAGAAAGCAAACTTAATAGCAAGATTAAGTAATAATTACATATTTTGTATTAATAACTTACAATCATGAGCCCAAGATGACGCGGTGCAAACTTAATATCTATAACATTGTCTTTCAGCGTATCCACTAAATAACCAGCTTTTTTCCACTGACGTTTCTCAAATTTTTCGCCAGGTTTTAATCGAGTTGCTTCGTCCAAATCCGTTTTAGCTGAAATAAAGATTGAAAGCCTATTGATACAAGTTTCAGAACAAAAGTAATGTTAAAACCTTCTATACATTACCATTCTCCTTTACTTAAAAGTTTGATAAGATAGTTGATGAGTAGTTACAATGAACTACAAATGTCAAAAAGAAACCGGCTTCTTCCCAGATGGTAACATTTCTGTCAAAAGAACATGTAGCCAATATCTGACCAAATTCTGGATGAGCCCACTGAATCTTCCAAACTGGACCACCATGACCCTAGAAACTATGTCTCATCAAAATTTCTGTTATCAGAACACTTTACGCTCAGTACCAAAACATACACACTCTAATGTCTAAAACTGTATTACTCATTTTCTATAAATACTTCAGGAAACCAACTTTCCAACAAGCTGATTTTGTAACTGCTCCGTTCGTTCCAATCTCCCAAATGCATATCATTGAGTCACTTGAAACAGTGGCCATCCGTCTTCCGTGAAAATCGAAAGCAACAAAGTGAATGAGATCCCGATGAAAATCGTTGAAAAGTAACGTTGTCGCAAATAAGGGTGACTTTGCAGCATTCTCATCATCTTCAGATTTTGTACTACTGTCACCCCCTGGCCTACTGTTTGGCAATAAAGTCTTTTCGCCAAGGGAAACATCAACTCCCGCATTTAGTTCCATGCTGCGCTCGGCAGTTCTTATCGGATTTTGAACTTCAGTATCTCTAAAAACATTCACGCTACAGTTTTGACAGACTTAAAAGCTAGAAGTCTAGTGTCGCACACGCAATTTAGCTAGAACAGGGATGAGCCGGCTCCGATAAAACAGCCTACAAACCAAAGATGAAAAAATTACAGTTTTAGAAAATAACGCAAACATATCGTTAAAAAACAGCAAAACCCAAACCGTCCTTAGATTCCGCAAATTTATTGAAAAGCTTGTCACTGCCTAGTAACTAAAGTTTTTTAAAAATTATATTAAGTGATTAATAGAATACTCTCTATAGGCTATGTAACTCCTCCACTTTCTGTATTTTCAAACTATACTGGGCAATAAAGATTTTAAAATATTCAATACCTTGCGAGTTAACTTTTTTTTTTTTACTTCAACAATATAATAAGGCAAAGCAACGGCAACGTAATTTAGCAATAAAGTAGACCCATTTTCTTAAAAATGCTGTTCCCAAAAGCGAGATCTATTTGCTGAAGTTCAAGTTTACTCTTGCTTAGACACTATGACTTTTCAAAAGCGCATTATAACTATTATCCAAACAGTCTACAGATCGTGTCCTTCAACCATAAGATTTTACTGTCAAAATATCTGCGCTACAGTTCATACTCAAAGTGAAACGGATATACGGGAAATTAGAAGTACTGAAAATTAAAGCAACAATATATGGGAATGCATTCCTAGTAGTTCTTTAGTCTTATCAAATAACACCAAAATCCACAAACACCATTAGAAGAAGAAAAAACTCAG